CTCCTTCCAAGGAAACCGCCCTGAATCCGCCTATGAATTAGTTATTGCTCTTGCATAAGTCATGGGTTTTTTTTCCAGGCATCTGTTTTCGCTGATGGTTCTAGTAAGACGCTGGCGTGTAACTCTGCGATACCTCCATGAACCGCAGGACAGTGCCTCAGTACCGATCGACCGAATTCTCGGTTTTCGCAAACACATCGAGGATTACGTGTCAGAATTGTCAAAAACATATCAAGAAATCGAGAAATCGAATAATTTCGACACTAGAACAATTTGTAAGATAATTTTTTAATGCAATTTTCACGCTTTTTTTGTTAAATTGATTGCAAAGTTAGATAACAGTCTGTAATGGAACTTGAATGATACATACACACACACGCACGCACACACATACACATGCATACACGCACATCCGTTAAAAAATATAGTGCCGAGCCGAATAAACGATAGAAAGTCTGGCGTATGCCGTCCTTAGGACTTGGTTGAAGAACCTACCTTCAGAATTTCAGCGTCGAAGCTTGCTTGGTAGTAGCCGAGTTGAAATAAATACACAGACGCATACACACACACACACACACATACACACACATATCTATATATATGTAGAGAACTCATTAGCAAAATCTCAAAATTGAAGCTTGTTTGGTAGCCGAGTTGAAATGGATGTACAGACGCACACACACACATATGTATACATATATATGCATATATATACATATATACATAAATACGCACTATTGGTCGTTACAGAAGGTGTTTTTGAATTTGCATACATGCAAAAACGCAAAAAAAATTGAAGGTAGTGTAAGATTAGAAAGGTGAGATTATTACCGATTTTAATTTACAGATTTTGTTTGCATTGCAGGTAAACTTATGCGAGAAGACAGCCTGATGAAACGAGAGTTGATTGATTGCGGTTTCGAGTGGCTCATCACAGGCTGGAGAATTCTTGAATCAAAGCTGTCAAAAGATTTGAAAAGTTATTCACGAAAGAGACGACGTGCTACATTCGCAGGCAGATCGCGCTCGGGATCACCAAAAAAGAGCCCGATACGAAGCACATCACCAATACCCAAAGTTAGGGATTGTTTGAGTGTCAACGATGGCACCGATCAATGGAATATACAACGAGGAATAAGAAGATCTGGGCGATTATCGGCCAAACGAGGCATTTCTCGACTTGAGCCGGTTAAAACGGAACAAATTGCATCAGGTATAACTTAATACGGCCTTTTATACTTCAGCAAAACCTTAAAGGTTCTTTTGTGCATTTTATATTGCAACAGCTGCACAAAACGCATATTTTCATGACTGTGTCTATGTGGTTGTGTGTGTGTGTGTGTGTGTGTGTGCGTGTGTGTCCGAGTGTGTTTTGTGCTGGTTTCAAGGACCAGAAAAGCTAGGAAGCTAAAATTTTAAGAAAATCTTGAAAGCTATAAAAAAGTAAAATTTTCTACGCTGATGCGCGCCATTTTCGTTTGTAACAGCTGTTAACTGACAGTAATCAGCAGATTTTCATGACTGTGTCTATGTGTTTGTGTTTGATTATATGTGTCTGTATATATATATATGTGTGTATGTATGTCTGTGTGTGTGTGTGTGTGTGTGTGTGTGTGTGTGTGTGTGTGTGTGTGTGTG